CTGTGTTCGGCACGAAGTTGTCTTAATTCTTCCTCGTCTAGGGTCCTGAACATGTACGGGATTCTACTTGTTCCTGAACGTGTTAGTCTAGTGTTGTCCACTCTATCATCCACAGGATCTGATCCACTCATTAGTTAGACAGGCAATATCTGCACTAGAATCCCCTTGTGGAATCCTACCGCAACATATGTCTGACCGACACTTAGTTTGCTATAAATAGTTGTGTCCGGCAAGTCCCCTACTGTACCGATCAAGTGGCATGTCTACAACATTCACACAGATTGTCTACATAGTCTAGATGCACTTTGACTAGTTCACGTACAGCAGCACTAGATAGAACTAGCTATCGTAGTATACTTCAGTCGTACTCTAGTCTGTCTGTGAGGTGTTAGCAGTCTGTCCACCAACTAATCAAAAGTACAAAAAGACAGTGTAACAGATGTATGATTGATGGGTATGGTTGTGTATACAGTTGAGCACCAATTAGAACCTACCCTCCCCTCAATCCAACATATCGAATAGCATCTTTGAGCAGGCAGTGTCTTCGTGTGTTTTGGCCCACCCCTGTGCCCAAGTTGTCATCGAGCAAGCCAGCTCAACCACTCTTATTTACCCTCGTACGGCGACGAGCCTTCCTGTCCATGTGATCTGGCTGATCAAGAGGAATTTATAGAGCGCCCCCATCTCTTCAGGAATTATTTAACGTCACAGTCAGGACGACGATCACAGCCAGATTCACAATGAACTCCCAACCAGAAATGTTTATAGACGGTCTGGTAAGCGTCTGTCATGGGCTGGCACACCCGCAGGAACTTCTATCAGCGCAGCAAGTGCCAAACAGGACAGCAGCCATCGCTTGCGTGCACTACTCCCTATGGGTTGGCATGGTGACCGTGACCCAAGTGCTTCGACCAGGGTCCTTCAGAGGCACCGCCCTTTCTCCTTCCAGTATGCTTCCGGGAAGATTGTCGTCTCTCAAGGTAGCGCGCTCACGACACCTCACCAAAAGAGAGGACTCTCAAGTTGGACTCACTTCCTCACGGTAAGAAGAGATTGAGAGAGTAGATAAGGTAAGGGAACAACGTACCTGGAGATAGCAGCCCCCAACCACAGATTTCTCACCAATATAACGAGTCTATAAAAAAAGGACTCTAATATAATAATAATCTCTATATAGTAGTATATACAGTTTTCCTTATTTACGATTGCAATGTGCTTATGATTTATCTCCAGGAGTCGTGGCGGCCATCATCCGTAACAGAACCATGTCTGGCCTGCTGAGCATACCTGTTGCTGACAACATTAGGTAGGCATTAGCAACATGCATGCCTGTCATCAGTACCAGGCGGAGACAAATGCAATCAAGACTCAATGCGTGAGGCGTTACTTTCACAGTGAAAACACACAGAGTCCATGGCATGCGATACTGAATGCTGCAATCATCCCTCTGCCTCCCGCTCAGTACCAGACATGCCTCTTGCCTGCCATCATCCGTTTAACAGGCATGTCTGACATGCCAGGCATGCTTGTTACCCGTGCGATTTTTTACACAGGCCCGTCATCGGTAACAGCCATGCCTATCATCATCGGTAAGAACAGGCATGCTTGCCAGCACTACTGCCTTCACCCGAATAGAACGCCCGGTTATTATCGCTGTATCGGTGACTGAAAACTTCACCAAATACGGCTATAATGACCGGGCGTTGTATTTGTGTAAGGACGGTAGTATCAGGCATGCCTGTTCCTGAATGGAGAATGTCCCTCCGCCAGACATGCAGGGCCTGTTTGAGAATATCATTACTGTGTATGAGAGTTCTTCATGCCTAAGAGTTCTCTGACTAACAGTGGTCATGTAGTCGTACCATGATCTGTAAATGTTGAATGATGGACCAGCCCCTCGTCTTTTTCTTTCCCCCCTTATGACAACGGGAGCCCTTTTTCTTCAGCTTGCCATACCACAGCCTCGGTAACTGGCCGCGGATACGTTCGGCAAGGGTGGCTGAAAGGTACTGAAGGTTTAAAAGGGCTATTACGGTGTAGTTCTCCCAACCACCCACCATGTGCAACCTAATCACAGAGAGAGAGAG